ATACAAAAGATAATACGCTTCTTCATGCTCTCTGCCAGATCTTCAGCACTTTCAAACTACTACCCTGCCAAAGCTTCACTGAACAGACAGATGTATAAAAATGGTCAAAGATTCTTCCATAGCATGTGTAAAATGTAAAATGAAACAGGTAAGAGTAATTGATTCACCCTCTTCAGCCAGTCTTGCTGCTAACCTCTAGGCGCTCAAGATTTTCAAAGACGTACTTTTAAACTACGCCAACCTACACATCTCAAGTGACGTTCTTTAGGTATGACAATGTGAAGGGGTTGACTGGACTCTTCCCTGTGCTTTTTGGTTGCATGTTCCAACTTCTCCTCTTACTCTGTTCTTCAGATCCCACCCTACCTGGTCTCCCTTCTCTGCCTTCTCTAGTTTGCCTAAATCTCCTTTCCTTGCTCTTTCATTCAGGTAGTACCTTGCTAATGACATCTTTCACTTAAAAAACAATGGGAGTCACAATATTTACATGGCGATTTCTGCAAATTCATTTATCACGCTGTGTGTCATACACTCTTTGATCTGTGTCCGCTTTATCTGTTTAGACTATGAGCTATTTGGAGCAGGGGCTGTCACCTGGTGCGTGCTTGAGCAATGCACAGCACAAAGGGATCCTATTTTAGACAGTACCAGAGCAATACTGTAGCAAACAATAAAAACAATTGTAATTATAATTAGCCCTCCCCCAAGCTACATTAAAAAACATGATCAAACACTCAGAAATTGAGAAATGACGGCATCAACCCTGTGATGCGATTTTAATTCACTTCCCTCTCTTCTTCTGTATAAACATTACGATACTGTCTCTAACTATATGATAGCATACTATTTTTTCTGCAAGGGTCTTCCTTCATTGATTATTGTTCATTTTTTAAAATATTTTTTATTCAAAATGGTGTCCTAAAACTTTCTTACCATAGGATTTTGTCATAATCCCTCAATTGAGTAGAAAATTACTAATTTCCTTTTACGTTATTCTTTGTTAGTTTTATCAGAGAATGTGAATGATTCCAGAGTATTAGTGAAATTATTTTGACAATGTTGACTTGAACAGCCTTTACCCTATTTTAAAGATGGGAGCTAAAGCACAAATAGATTAAGCATAAAACATAAATCTTACACGTTAAATTAAAAGACATAGGTTCTAAATTTTAGGCTGTTTCATGTTTTTAGCATATGGTGTATTAGAAGCACAGTAGCAAAAAATCAGCTTTTAGCTAGGAGTGCATGGAATTTCTGCTAATGTTTCAGGCGAGGAACATAAAATATTTTAGTACACATGATTTTTGACAGTGGCAAGGAATAAAGCCAGGTTTTCAAAATTTATTCAGCTTCTTAACCATTCTTCCTTTTTACAATCTGCTGCCAACATCAAACAACTTCTAATTTCTACGTTAAATAAGATGAAGAGGCTGTGCATAAAAACTCTCTGCACATCCCTAACTAATTCCCAGGACCCCATTCACATTGTACACCAACCAAGGCTGGGTCCTGTGTAAAGCACCGCCTCTTCAAGGCTTCATGAAAGTAAAAGTTTTGTGGGCTGTAGCCCAGCTACAGAGGTCTTTCTACCCAGGAAAAAGAATCGCAGACTTTCTGTTCTGCTCCTAGCACTGTCCTGCATTTTCACTAATCACTTATTTGAGCATATGCCTAAGTCTTCTCTTAAATCATTTTATGGCTGTTGTCTGTAGTTTTTTCCTTGATTTTTCAGTATCTCTTTTTAAGCATGGAAACCCAAAGTGGACTTAGTATTTACTGACTGGTACCCCAGTACTAAAAAAATCACTTAATTGACCATTTCAGCTGCAGGACTGCACTAGCAAAGAGAGTTGCTTGTCCAACATAAACTCCAGATCTTTTGCAGGATCACTGTGTCCCAGGAGACACACACTCACCTGAAAGATACAGTCTAGAACTCTTGTTTCTAAGTCAACAGTCAGTTTGGCGGTATTAAAAACAGAGAATTGCACTAGTGATATTTTGACTGAGTTCTAGTTCATGTTCACCCGTTACTGGTATTTTCCTAATTTGGGCTCAGTAGAGGATTCTGCACATCTAAAGAGTCTTGAATGGATTCACAATGTGCATTGGGGTAATATGGGTAGGGGAAAAGCATCTAGGAATCATACATGAGAAAGTTCAGAAGAGTTTCAGCAGCAGCAGGAAATTTCAGAGGACAATAAATATGAGCAGTGAATCTTTCTCCTCCCCTAACTTGGCCGTCTCTCAGGATGCAAGCCGTCTCGTCTTCTCTGGCATTCTCAAGCCAACCTCTTCCTCTTCTCACCCACCTTGCACCTTCACACCACTCTCCCTCTGGAGTCTTGCCTGCACCAAGAATATCCCGTGCTTATTCTTCTGCCCCTGCTAGATTTCGGTCATAGTAGTAGGCTCTTCTTGTGTTAAAGAGCTGTTGTAAACACTGTATTAATTTTTTTCTTTTTGTTCAGCTTGAGTTTGGGTTCAGCAAAGACTTCAAAGTAATAGCTCAGGCTCAGTTCTGGTTAAAGAAAAAAAAAACAACTTCAAGTTTTTACTTCGGTTTCAATTTGATTTTAAAACATGCTTTATTTTAATACACTCCTATTATCAGAATGGTCTGAGTGATCACCATGTTTTTAGCGTTATTTACAAGTCTGTCAATATTTGTGTCAAGGGCACATCTCAACATAAATTATTCAGTATGTATTTCCAGATTACTGGTAACAGTATTGAGTAGGGCAAAGCACGGGTCACCATAGAACTCTACTAAAAGCCTCCCAATTCAAATTTAACAAGTACTTTTGGAGAGCTGTCAGCTAATCGGCCCTTAGTCATTTAAGGTGTGCTTCTCTGTATGTTTAATGAGAATGCTCTGTGGTACTAAGTCAAAGGTATTACAAAAGCCTAAAAAGTATCACCTTTTACTGTTTCCTTTATTAGCTCAAATTCTAATAACCTTGAAAATTAACACTAATACTTTTTAAGTAGTATTAACTATACCTTCATTCTTTACTCTTTTATCACTGAATCCCACAGAGCTTTTTTCTTCATCATTTTGCCTCAAACCAATGTCTGACTTGCTGATTTATAACAACATTATAATATTTATATTTAGTAGATGCTGAAAGCTTTCTCCTTAGTAATTACATACTGGAAAAGAGTTTGTTTTTAAATTCTTTACAACTGAAAAATTGTCTTAACATTTCCTTATCACATTATCTCAGTTTTCTTTACAACTTTTTGAAGCTGTTTATATTCCATTTGCCTCTTCAGCAGCCCCCTCTTCACCGCGTTAGTTTAAGACAGCTCTACCTGCTCCAAGTAGTCTTCAACAGAGAACAGTTCTAGTTGTGAGACAGAGGCTAAGGCATCTGTGCATCCCTCCCACCATCAGGGTTGTCGCCTGATGCTCCACTCAAAGCACGTCTTCAGTCTCATATTAGTGAGAGCAGCCACAGGCTCTTGTCGAATTTTTTTTGGCCTTAGGACCGGAAAATCTCAAAAAATATCACCTGGACTTTTCCGTTTTTCAGCTTCTTTCCTGATGTGTCCTACAATTCAACCAGCTTCACGTGATTTTTGCCTAGTTATGTTCTCAAAAATGGCCAACACATTTTTGCTGAAACGTAACCCTGAATAAAAATGTCAGACAAAGATGAACATTGCACATAGAAGTTTTCAGCTCAAATTATAAACAATATCTACAGTGATGATGAAAATGATGAAAAAAATATATGTACAATTTCTGGGTTCAAGCTGAAGTTCTTATTGACTGTGCAAAGTAGATTTTTTACAATTTGTATTATAGTAGAGTCTGGGGAACTAAATGAAGATTAGGCTCCAATGTACTAAGCACTGTACATACAGAGTTTTAAAACTTAAAAATTGTTATTAACCAAGGCATCAAACTGAAAATAAATGAACAGTTATGTAAACTTACAGTGTTTCTAGCTATCAAAATTACTTCAGGATTTTACAGTTAGGAACATTCTATGGTAATATCCTCAGTGATAGGGTTTGGACTAATCTTGCTCAATACCGTGTTGGCTACTGGAAATAATCACCCGTACGATGCATAGTGCCACTGATAACAGACCTACAAGTGCACCTTCTTTCCCGATTGCTGGTTTGTTTCCCCAAATCCTGCAGTAGCAGATTCCCACAGTTACTGCCCCAAATGTTTCCAGCCCTGCAGATGAGCTGCAGTTCACATCACCTGAACATTGGTAACAAGCATTTTGTGGCTTCCCAGCCTGGGAATTGAACTGGGTAGAAATTAACTGGGAAGAAACCTGGCACCCTTCCCAGAAGAGCTGGAATGAAGGGTTGATTTACAATGTCTTCAGGAGCACGTTAAACCTCATTTATAACTTCAGTGTTACTTATTTGGTTCTGTTATCTGGTGCATCGGAAGCGGCATGGGCACAAAGATTGGATTTGGGGATGTGACGTGTCAGGGGTGAATGATGAAGAGAGCTGCTTCAGCCTTGGCATTTGAGACAAAGCAGGGCAGATTCAGGGCTGAGAGCAGTTTTTCAGGGTTTTCAGTGGGGATTGACTTTAGGTAGTTTGACGAGTAAACAGGAGTGAAACGGCCAGAGGCAGGCATCTTCAAGTAGGGGCAGGCTGTGGAATCTCAGTGGAAAAGCCGCCGCAGGCACGGTCAGGTGGCCTGAGGGGAGCAGGGGTCAGGGAGACCTCGGAAGTTATACAGGGGCGGGGGGGGGGACACAACACTGGTGGGAGGGGGGGTGTT